CCTCCGGGCACGGGAATTACTCCTCTAGCGCGGCTGAGCCCGACCACTTCCTTTGAGTTCGCAAGAATACGTTTGCTGTTTTGCAGGGTCAGAGTTACCACGCTTCAGTGGGATAGGTTTTTTCCGCTTATTTCGGGTGTGCTTCTTGGTCTACCAATCTATTCGCTGGTTAGGCGTCGCCCCCCACTCGCGACTACAGTCGCGAAATTCTGACAACTATAAAATTGACGCGGAGACCGTTTGTATTTGAAAACAGTATCATGTTAATGTTGAAATTATGCGAGCATATAAGTCAGACACTGTTTTTCTTTTTTTTTTTAAAGTGCAGACCAAAAGTCAATGGGTCTCCAAGACTAGATTCACTAGAGGATGATAGATGGACATTTTCGCGAATCGGTCTGAATGCCACAGTTTACCAAGCGTTCTGCGGAACAGTTTGGGCTCCACCTGTGTGCTACGAAAGCTCATGTATAGTGTGATACAGACGTCATACGTAACTGTCTGAAGTTGTTAAGAAATTGCTGAAGTTCTTTGTTCAAGCAATTGGCGAGCGCTGACGAAGTAAAGCGGTTCAGGATCTCTTTAACAAGCTGCCGCAGAATTCTTAAAAGAAAACTCGCCAAGAATCAATCCCACGAGCTTGCTTGCGGGTAGGGGCCACTACCGCTGTTCTTTTTTTTGTTTCACAGCAACGTCTTAATAATCGATTAGCAGATTGAAGAGCAGCATTCGGCGCAGAATCCCAAGGTATGCGTCTTATTGGATAGAGCCACTTCTACCTATTTCTTGTTGCATTATAAATGTCGCACCAGATTTAGCTTCACCCCACTCGGCTATGTCCGAACATCCGGAGGTACTTAAGCATTCAGCACACGATTTTTCAAAAGCTCCAGAACTTTCGCTTATTGATCGATACCTAGAATCTGCTACGTGATAGATTATCGCTGTCGATCATACTTCTCCGCAGTAGGTATATATTGCCGGGTTGCCTTCTTTAACTTTAATCATGATGTCGATTCCACAAGAGCACTTTCGAGCGATCATCTTCAATGAATGGCGCTGCGGCACAGGAGCAGTGGAAACCGTCAACATTATCAGCATCGCATTGGGAAGGGACACCACTTCCATCATCAGTGCCAAGCTCTGGTTCGCAGGCTTCGAAGGAGGAGACACGGCTTCCGAAGACAAGTCAAGGTTGGGAAGCCCCAAACAGTGGAAGACTCCACCGTTCTCGGCGCTGTCGAAGAGGATCCGGAGGTTAGCACCCGCAGCCTTGTGATAAGACTCGGGTGCACCCATCCCACAGTCCTCGGTCCCCTCCACGCCCTCGCCACAGGAAAGTGCCGACTCGATGGATCCCTCATGTCTTGACCGATAGCACGCGGTTCAGGCGGGTACCCATTTGTCAGTTTCTCCTTCTTTGCCCGCACCGAAAGGAGTTTTGGAAGGCATGATTACGAGAGATGAGAGTTGGGTCCTCTACGATTCTAACAAGCACAGTGCCGTGTGGCTCCCTCGAGGAGAAGACCCGCCGACACAAGCAAAATCGGACCTTCACCCCAAAACTGTCTTCTTTGCTGCCTCTGGGATTCGCGAGGAATGTTGTATTATGAGCTGCTCCCGCAAGGACATACCGCTACCGGCAGCATTTACGCCAGTCAGCTCCAGAAACTAGCGGACGCTGTTCGAGAAAAACGACCGAGACGAACTTCTGTCCACCTACTCCACGATGACGCCAGGCCCCACATAGCTAAAGAGACCCGTGCAAAATTGGAAGAGCTGATCTGGGACGGTCAGAAATTGGAAGAGCTGGACTGGGACACGGTTCTCCACCCACCTTATTCCCCTGACATTGCCCTGTGTCACTTGCTTCGCTCCCTTAAGCCATTCCTAGCGAAGAAAAAATTCACCAAAGTTGAAGACGTTGAAAGGGCGGTCAGCGATTTCTTTGACTTCTCAGTCTGCTCAGTTCTGGAGAAGGGGTCGCTGACCTGCCCATTAGGTGGGACTCTGTAGTGAGTAACAATGGTGATTATATTGTTGAGTAAATTCCATTGTACGCGGAATAAAAAAGTAAAGCAAAAAAAGTGTCAAACGGCTCAGGACTTTCTTACCATCCTAATAGTAGTATAAAAGCGACTACTCGTTACTCAAATAATTTTTTTACAGGAATTTTTCTTTTAAATGATGACTGACCTAAATTTCCGTGTGAACACGAGAATGTTCTACGACTTCTTGAGGGGATGAATTTAGCTCACACGGTCACGGCAGGTCTTCATAAACAAAAATCGACCTACATCAAACCATGCATTGGCTCGGCGAGAAAGAAAAACAATGGTTTTGTGAAGTTACTTCACGACGAAAAAGCTGCTACTTTGCGAAAAAAATCACCAGCAAAAAAGTGCGAGACCAGGCTGAAACATTTGACTTCTCCGCCAAACAGCTCTTGTCACACTCCATCTATGTGCTGCGCATCCGAGTCAACGCGGCACGTTTTGAAGGATAAACAGTTCAGAGATTACGAAAAATTCAGAATATGGGTGTCCATGTTTAACTGCGCGCAAGTCTGCGTGAGGAATAGCGAAGCCTGACGCAATAAGGTAGTATCCATATCTTCTTCTGAGATGCCGAACTATTGCTGTTCCAACTACTTTTGTGGTATGTCCAAAAGCGACATTCACAATGGCAACCTAATACAGATAATTCTTGATTAGCACTTGAAGGCGGAGTTTACGATCAGTGGTGCAGGGATCTTCAACGCCACGCTTTCTCTGCTTAGCGTCCAGAGTGAGACGGTGAGGAGTGGGCCTGCCGCGGCGTGGAAAGAGTGGGTATGATCCTGCTAGGCCGCCGAGGACGTACTCCGCTGCGGAACACGCATTCTCCGCCGTCTTTAAGGGGCCCGCCTGTCTATCGACTTGTGTATTCCGCTCTTCGACCTTCGATCTTATCGTAATTCCCTTCAAAGCCCTTTAAAGGAATCCTTCGCGGAAAAATCATGATTCTATTTCAGCCATAAATCACTGGCTTGAGACTCATTATCCACGATAAGAATGAAAAGAACAGAAATATTGCTTTTGTTTTGGTAAAAAATTCGAAAAATCGAAAGGGCTGCTACGCGTTCAAAGTGCCCACGGACGTCTTTCACAAATGCTGGCGACGGGGATGCTCACTTGGTTCTTGGAGTGCCTTCACTAGAAGCTCTTTCTGGCCTTCTGCTTATTGCATTCACATCTTACACTTCTACTCCATCCTATTCCATCGATCGATTTGTCTCTACTCTCCGAAATCGCGCGCTTTAACCCGATTCTTTCATTGCGTCGCCTGATACG